TGAATATTGAGATCTTCACTGAAATTTGAACTGAATTTTTTTCAAAAAATCATTGAATTTCTGAAAAAAATTCAATATTTTTTTCATGTTGCCCAAAACTTCAAACTTCATGCTTCCGAAAGAATCACAAGAGCAGTTCAAGGGAGTAAATCAAAGAGAGTTACGTTCTCCATCAATGCATCTCCTAAGATGAGCCCCAAAGGAGCAAGAATCACAGGGCACTGGCTAATGAAAGCTATTTTTTATGGTTAGCCTCGCGAGATCAAAATTTTTGTTCGCTCACAATCACGCCAAAATGAGGATGAAAGCGAAATGTGTAAGACCAAATGGAGGGATATCCCACACAAAAGAAGAGTAGGACTGACATGATTGCGTCAGAAACCGCCGCAGAAAGCGTTTGCGTTGCGGCGTCAACCTTGGAGCGCGGCAGGTATCACCCGGACGCTGGAAAACTGGGACGCGGCGAAGAAAAAGTTTTAGGAGAGTGTAACTTTCTTGAGACGTATTTGTTTCACTTATTGAGGTAGGTTTAAACTGTGCCTGAGGTGGCTTTACAGAAAATTGCAAGGATGACCTAACTCTCCCAAAAGTATTTCTGTCAGAAGCGGAAAACCCAAAATTCTGAGAAGGCGCACCTCCAACTTTGAGAGCTCATAAAATCTTTCGTATGCGACATCTTGGAAATTTGTGAAAAGTTTTAGAAACTTCAAATATTTCTCTAACAAAAGATTATAAAAAGTTAAGTGATTGTCCCCTTTTTCAAAAATTTGCCCCGTTCGAACAGTTCCCGTGCAAAACCGAGTTTTTAAGCTTTCAGCGACTATAACTCACTTCATTTTGATTGCTGTGTTTCCCTCTTTCCATGGGGTGAAAGAGCAGGTTTTGCTCTTTCTAACAAGCCCTAAACCATTTTTCAAAGTTCATTTTTCGAGAAAATCCCACGTTCGAACATTTGGATCCCATAGGTTTTTGAGCAGCACATGCGAGGTTTCGAGCTTTCAGCAATAATAACTTCCTTCAAAGAGCATGTTGGAAAGAGGCGAAGACATTTTTGAAGACCGCGAGGTTTCTTCTTTCTTATGTGTTTCACGATTTTGTGGAAGAACCGTCCGTAGAAAAGTAGGTTCCCGAAGAAGTTCAATTTCAGCCACAAGAAGTCAAACTTTGAGATGCATTCAACTGTTCTCTATTCCTCAAGGAAAACACCGTAATTTGCCCAAAACTGTCTCTTTGTGCATAATTAATCGAATCTAATGCGGTCTGCACAAACAATTCTTGCCCTCGGATACGCCACGCACGCGCCTGTGGCTGACAGTCCTCGAAATTGCGACCCCCTTCCGACCAAAATGCGACCCCTTCGTTCGAACAGTTCGAAGACGGTTGACCCTGGGCCTCCAACTTTTTTCAGTTTTCTCAACATGTTGTACGTGTCAGCTTCCCACCGCCAGTACTTGCGAGATTCGCGATTTTACGGCAGAAAACGCAAAATCTTATGATATCTCTGCAAAATATGTAGAAGCAAAACAAAACTGTGATAGGGCAAATTAATCCCTCTTGACGGTTCATGACAGACGTATAGAATGACTTTGTAGAAAATTATATTTCAAAAAAATTACACAACTTATGCAACGACCTAATACATCGTCTTATGTCAGACCAATTTCTGTAATTGAGCTGCTTCAATCGGGAAGTACCATCAAGCTAATCTAGCTTTTATATAATGGCACCATGACTCACCACTACCGAGTTCTCCTCCACTGATCCACTCTAGCTTTCGGAGCGCTGCTTCCTCTTTTTCGTATTTTTCCTTGAAAAATAATGTAACAGCGCCATGTAGTGGCAACAATTCCCTGAGAGTAAGCTCGACTGAGCCGCAGAACGAGGTTCGAAACATGAGACCTTCATGGTGACCCTTTTAGTATTCTGTCCGATCCACACTTTCGTTTACATTATGATAGTCAATGATGCATTGCCTCTTCTATCGTAACAACCTATGTGATCCTATATCCCTTAAGGTGATCATTCACTGGACAACTAAGGCTCAAGATCGAGAACATTGGAAAAAAAGTTGGGACCCGCGCAAGGCCAGCGATGTCCATCGGGACGGGTCGCCTAAGTATCCTAAGTAAGTATTTTCTCTTCTTAGACTAGCTAGTCAGAATTTGTTCCCTCATAAAGGGCAGATTGTTGTTATGATATGATTATGGAGCTAAACATAATACCATAGTTACCAAAAAATCGAGGACCGTCAGAGGGAAAGGAATTGAAGTTTCGATTTTTACTTATTTGCCAATTTGTTATTGCTACTCTTTCAAGAGTTGAGTAGAAGGTTCATTCGTAGGCATGGGACGAGACAAAAGTGAATGCAACCATACTCGTGAAGGTTTACATATAAGCAACATGTTTATGGTGATGATCCTATCATCACTATCACAATGTACACAAACATACAAAGCTCATTCCATGAGAATGTATGGCGCATTCGGCCTACCCGCACTTACTCCCTAAGATTGACATCTGCGGTACGACTTGGCGTACGGGATCTAGAGGAAATCAGGACGTCGAATGCGGATAGATCGACGATATGCCAGGAGGTAGGCAACGTTGGTTGTGGTGATCTCGTACTAATTGTCGTCGTTGGAGCAGCAGTGGTATCCACCACTGAAGTCGGCGATGTCATAGTAAGTGGAAACGACGGCCAAACACGGTGAAGTGGTTGTTTTTTCCATACGCCTGCTCAAACAAACACATCGTGGAGAGGGCTACCATGGCGGCGTCAAATGTATTCTAGAGTCCATGTGGGTTGATTGGAGCGGAAGTCTCGTGCGTAGATAAGATCATTCGGCTCGAACCGTCTAGGTTTGGCTCCATGTCGACAGTTGAAGCTTCCATTTAGTAGTTTTGTGGCTTCTGCAGGCTTCACCAGATCTAGTGTGTTATCTAGCGTCTTCCTAGGAAATTTTCTGTTATTCAGTGAACAGGAATGTATGGAGGGCATCGAAGATCCGGCCGTGATTTTTTTTCAACTCTAAAAGGGAGCGTTGTCTACGAATCGACTGATCGAATATGAGTGTTTTGGCTTGTGGATGGGAGGGGGTGATCCGACATGCTCGATTTCTTTGTGACGGCAGAAATTCTGGAACTCGGCGGAAGTGGACTGAGTTTCGTTATCGGAGACGATAACGCAAGGAAATCCGATTTGGGCGGGTGGTGGTTGAGATCCCTCAGGATTGCGATGCTGGTCGTGGATTCATTGGAATGACTTCAGCGCATTTGGAGGAGGCGTCGACGATGATGAGGTGAGAGATTCCTTCATGTGG